AAGGAACCAAACCCATCACCCCACCAGCCATCTCCACAGATGCGAGCTCCCCGCCGGCCCCCAGGCCTTCTGGCAGAGCCAGGATTTAACTCCTTTTCTGAAGGCCATGAGGGAGGGGGCACACCGGGCCTCGGGAGGCAAGATGTTCCAGAGGGCGGGAGCCACAGCAGAAAAGGCCCTCTACCACTTTGATATTTTTATTATCAGTTCTAAGGCTGCTTGTTGTACCTGTTGTCATTAGTTTGATATTCTTTGTATTTAATTTTAATCCCATTTTCTTTCACTGTCTCCTTGACTTTTATTACTAGGGCTTGCAGATCCTCTGCATTTTCAGCTATCAAAGTATTGTCACTAGAACAGCACTGGTTGTTGATGTTTCTTTCTCCAACTTTAAAACCATGCTTGTCTTCTTCCAATCCATCTTCCCTTAATATATATTCAGCATATAGGTTGAATAAAGGGGAGCATATATAGCCTTGTCTGAATCTTTTGCCAACCTGGAGCCAGTCTGCTTCACCACAGTTCATACTGTAGCTTCCTGACTTGTGTATAGGTTTCACATGAGGACAATGAAATGCTCTGGGATTCCCATTTTTCTAAGCATATTCTACAGTATGACATGATCTGCATAATCAAAGGCCTTTCTATAGCAACTTCTATTTGGTATTTGCTGGTAGATGGGGTAGATGGGGTGCAGGAAATATATGGTGTATTGATAGGAATGCTTGCCAAAAGTGAAAGTGTCTGCATCTAACAGCATTGTACTGTCCACTTTGTTATATGAAAGTGAGAGTTGGGTATGTAAGAAAAAATATGAAAGTACACTGAATGCAGTGGGAATGTGTTACTCAAGAAGGGAGTATGATAAAACAAAAGGTGAGAGGTAACAAATGAAATATGGATTAATGAATAGGTAACAAATGAAATATGGATTAAATACAAAAGTGAATGGCAAGTATGAAAATATACAAGGTGGTTTACAGAGAGAATGAATGAGGATCAAATAGCTAAACAAATGTATGAAAGAATAATGAATGACTGAGAGGAAGGAGATGACAAGAAATTCATGCTGGATGGAGTTGATGAGATTTTCAAAGAGGTTTCATTTAGGAAACAAAAGGCAATATATGAATCAGGGTATAGATGAAGTGGAAGCAAGGATGATTTGCAAAGACAAAAAGTAATGGAAAGGTACAATGAATGGTATTGGTGAAAACTAGCCTATTAGATAACCCCTTGTTTATCTTCCACCTTTAATCTCTTTTGCTCACTTCTTCCTCTTTGCCTGCATCCTGCATACCATCGCTTACCCAAAAGTGAATACTGTAGTGTAATAGGTATGCCTGCACGTAAAATAAAACTAATCAATTTCATTTTTATCCTTAAAGTTTATGTACAACAGCATGGTCTTCCCACCATCCCTTCTATTCTCACAATCAGGAGTCCAGGACCACCAAAAAGCAAGGTTTGGGCAGGGGGAGGGCGGGAAATCCCCTATTCAACATTCTTTTCATTTGGTCAAACATATGAAAAGTATTTTGATAAAATCCCGCCCCACCCCCTGGGGGCAAACCAACGACGTTTTGTGTAACTTCCTACTGATGGAGGCGCCAACAGCAATCAGAAACTTCTACGGACTGACTTCCAGGGAGTCCCGAGAAAGCGCGCGGTGCAGTCTGATCCTCACATCCACACAAACGAATGACTCGCAAGGAAGCACCACTAGCCTGCAGCCCACCCTCACGTGGGAAGAAGTTCCACCAAGCTCGGTTCCTCTCGCCTATTCCGACAGGCAAAGATCGGGCTGCAGGAAGTACATCTGACTGAGCCAGGGCTCCCGCAGCAGAGTCAGCCCTTCCCTCCGTTCTTGGTTCTCCACTCCAGGCCCTCCGACCCCCCACCCGAACGGTCTCTCACCGCGCAGCCAGTCTTGCCACTCGCCGAATTCGTGAGCCAAGTGGTCCCGCTTCTCTTGCCTCTGATAGTCGCTTTTGGCCCCTTTCCTGCCCGGTCCTCCCCTCTTCATTGCGTGGGGAGAGGCCCCACCGGGAAGATTCCTCCCCAGCGACTGTTGCAGCCCACGGAGCAAGAAGACAGCGGCGGACGGCTCGCTCACGGCGTCTTGGCTGGCGCTACGCTCGGGCTCCCTGTCTCCGCTCCGGCCCTGCTGCTTCTCTTCCTGAGGTGGCAAGCGCGGAGGAGAAGGAGGAGCTCGCCTGCCGCGGCTGTTGCCCCCGCCACTGGCGGGATTGAGAGGCGGCGACTCCTTGCCTCCGCCTCGCCTAGGCCGGCCCGTTCTCCTCATTGCCCCGAAGCAAAGGACGGGCAGCCAGGCCCCAAAGGGGCAGGTGGGCGGAAACGGAGGCGGGGTAGCCCACTGATGCTGGGCTTCGGGCTGAGCTGAGTGGGCTGGGTCGCTCCTCCCCCGCCGAGAGCGCCGACGGTTGTCGTGGACGCGAGAAGGTAACGGCCGAGAGAAGAAACGGCGCGCGCTGACAACTGTCAGCCGGAGCACGCGCCCAGTCCTCGCCGTAGTGGTGACGCCCCTCCCGCGCATCCCTTTCGTTCCTTTGCAGCTGCAGTCGCGTCCCAAACTATTGCTTGCTTTGAAAAACGAGAGTCTGGCTATCGATTTTGAGGCAAATATGCACGACGAAAGCCCTCTTTTCAGTGCGGAATAAAGAGTGCCCCCCCCCCCAGTTCTGGGGTAAGAGAGTTTTCCTCACAACAGGAATCCCCGTCCTTTGGGGCCTTATGGGGTCACTTAGCCTTTTCCGAACAAAATGGCTGCTTGGGTACGATACCCATTCACAAAAAATCAATTAGAAAGCACTCATTTACTAGAAAGCCTCTACTTGCCAGCTTTCCTAGCCTTGGCTTTCACCCTGTTTCCTCCTCCCCTACTTTGCCCTCCAAATAATGCTCGGAATTCTTTAGTATGCCAACTTCCCCCCTTTTATTATAAGGGAAAAATAAAACAGTTGGGAGGACAGGGAACCTGTTTGGTACCAAGAGACATGAACTTAATAGATTGCCACTCCACAGATGCCACCTTGGGGCACCTGTTATACCAATAGTTATCTTGAGTACTGATCTCACCAGTACTCACCAGTGCCAAAAGGTATAAATGATATACCAAAATAAGTGGTTCCCCTTGCATTCCTCTGGCTAAGATTCTAGAGAGTCCCTTCCAGCCAAACTAGACAATACTGGTTTAGATCAAGCAATAGCTTGATATAATGCACGGTTTTATGATCATACAATTAAATGTGCTCATGTCAAATTACTCAGAAGCAATCACTGAGGAGCATCGTTTTTAATTTCACATGACAAATATATTTTGTAGGCTTTTTTCCTGCCCTAATGCTGTAAAGACAGGCAGGGTTCATTCTTGGAGCACTGTGTTTTATTCTGTTCAACCAATACTCCAATGTTTGGAGATATAATCAGCCATACTGTATGCTCTTCAGTCCTTTCTCCAGTTACCCAGTTCTTCCTAGTGACACTACTTCTGCTACACATATGGGAAGAGTTGTTTTTTCTTTCCCCCTTCCATTTTCTCCCTTGTTTGAAATGGGTACATGAGTCAAGGTGGTACTGGAACTTGGCATATAGATTTGTACTGTTGTGTTTCAGTAATCAACAGACTTATTTCATTAAACAAACTAACCAACAGAGAGGTAGACAAAAGGTCAGATTAAACACAAACCCCACTGTAGGCAAGCAGTTAGCTAATGATGCAATGGTGCTCACAGTAAGCTGCACAAATTCAAATTTACCCCTCACATCTGCATTGTTACTAATGAAGGCTGGTTGAAAAGAACTGATAAAAATGGGTAGCCAGTGCTCTTAAGTAGCCAATCAGGGAGGAAGGTAGGCTTCAAAATAAGTTTGCTGCCAGTACTTTTTCTTCTTCCACATTCCCTAAATCAAAAAGACCAGAGTCCACACAACTGCATAGTCTATGCTTTTAAAAAATGCACTTGCATGACCTCCCAATCCAAAGCCTGTCTGCACAGTCAGACTCCCCCAACAAATAACTAATATCATTAAAGTGCTGGATTAAACAAAGATCTGACTAATGCAGCTTTCTTTCGTCCAAGCAACCACCAAGTCTAAGTAATCCACCAAAATTGCCAGGAAATTGCAGTGGCCTGGTAGTGAAGTTCAGTTTACTTTATGGCCATCTATATCCTAAGTAAACGAACTTCAAGATTCTGAAGGATTGTTTGTATGTGCTTCAAAAAGAAATCGAATTTTGGATGTACTTAATTCAGGAGCTTTGAAGAGTCACAGAAATTGTATCAAATTTGCTCTTATTTGTCTGTTTTTATAAACTCAGCAATTACATCTACATTCTTGAAGCTTTATCCAGTTTCCTCTGTCCTCTGATTAACAATGGTACAAATAAAGCTCGGTGTCTTTTTTGAAGGCCAAACCAGTCGTTATTATGAATATGAAGTGCCATCTGCTGCTTTTTATTTTTATTAAGGAGTCTATCCTTAACCAGCCTTGCATCTACATAGCCCTACAAAAATCAGTAAATAATCCTAGTCTTTTCTAGCTAAGCATCTAACTCTAGATTCAACAGTCTCTTGGCTTTGTGATAGGTTTTTGCAGATATTTTCATGGGGATGCAAGGAAGCCTTCTCTCTCATTCCCCCCCCCCCCTTTTTTTTTATAAAAGCCAATTGCTGCATATCTTCATGCTTTGCTGCAGAGTGAGAAGGACCCTTCCTCATCGGGGAAGAGATTGTCCTATAATTGACATTGTACAACAAACTGCTTCATAATCCAGAATTCATAAAACAACACCTTATATTTATTTACTTATTAAGTGACTTGGAATGTATAATCACTAAGGTAAATTGAAATCCTTACAATATCCATAATAATACACTCAAAAAGTAGAAAAAATATCAGTAGCATTGGTAAAGTTAACAGTCCACATTAAGTGACCATGAATATTCAGCTTCCTATCATTCCTGCTTTTATACTGAATCTGTTTAAAAAAACAAATCTATAACACCATGAAACTTTACTCTAAAACATACTTTGCTTAGGAAGAATTTTTTCAGGCTGAATTGTTCTTTTGGAATGGCATTGTTGAATCACTGCATGCATTTCTAAAGAACACAGATATTGTACGTAGTTCTATTATGTATTTAATAGGGGAACTGGGGTTTTTTTTTCACATTAACAACAACAAAATATCTCTAATGATTACTCTGACAAACTTGATAATGATATTTATTTATTAATTGCAATAATAATCACAGTATTAAAATTAATTTATGTTTGTTCAGTTTGCTGTGTGATTGTTAGGTGATTATGCATAGATAAATATAACTTCCAGGAACTGAACATTATAAAATGTAATAAATTGTAGACTCTACTACAATGTTTCATTGTGATTTTTAACAAATATTTTAATGAATATTTTTAATGAATATTTTCGGTGTTTTTGTAATGTTTTGTATATTTTAATTGTAGTGCACTGTTTTGGGTCTGTTTATTTTACAGAATGGTGGTATAGAAAAATAAATGGAGAAATTATAATTAAATGAACAAAAAAATCACTTAATTCAATCCTCTGGCTTGAGAAGGAACTGAATTATTTATGGAAAAGCTATGCAGATTTTCCTGTGGCATTTCATACTGGAAACCCCACTTATAGAGCAAAATGCTTGAGATGCGTTATGCAAATGTTTGGAGCTATCATCACAAATAAAGTAAAATAGTACTTAAATAGCTGTATGGTATAATCGATTGCCTTCAGCATGTATTACTCATTTATTTACTTCAAGTCTTTTGATGCAACTTTTCAGTAAAACTTCTGGAATTCTTTCCAATTTATTAATAATAGCTCCACTCCGGGTCTCGTACTCAGGAATCAGTAACATTTCAAACTGCTGCTGAACTGCCTGCTCCCTAGAGATGCATCAGGTGAATCCTGCTGATGATGAACATGTAGGTAGGCAGAGTCCAAAGTCCCTTTACATCATTTTTACAATATTCCATTCTGTTGGGAAGAATAAAAAGGGTCCCATAATGGCATACAAAAATTAATACTAAGAATTTTTCAGAAATGATGTGTGTGTATGTGTATATATGTATATCTTTTGGGGTAAGCAATGTTACATAGTTTTCAGCCAAAGGATAAGAATTAGTTGACGGAATGATGCAAATGGCAGTTCACTGATTCAAGAGGGCACTAGATTGGGGAAAGCTGGAGAGAATCACTATAAGGATGCATATATAAATCATATCAGTAAAGTAATAAAAAGGACCTTATCACTCCCCTTGTTTTTTTTAATAAAGTGAAGAAATGTGGCAAGACCACATTTTATGGAACAGCCTCCTTCCAGAGGTTCAGATGGCATCATTTTGGAAGGCTGGAAAAAAAATTGTTCCATAAAATAATTTGCTGCTCTTGAGATTGGGGTTTGCACCTATGGTTCTTCATTGCTTCATTATTATTATTGCTTTATTGCCTTATATTTTTTTACATCTTACTGTATGTTTTTGTGCTTTATCTGTGTTGTGTACTGCCAACAGTTGGTTTTGATTATAACATCTCATACCAAATTAATATTCAATAAATGGTTTCTGTACGCCCAACTTTTTATGTGGAGAACTGGATGTACTCATTCTCCTTTGTGACATAGATAACATTCTATAGTACATGTTCAGCTCTGGCAAGCAGATATATTTCAACATCTGGACAATATCAGCCTGAACCTTGTAGAAATTTTGTTATAGCTGTGTCATTGCATTATACAGAAACGTATTCAACTCATGAATTAAAATGAATATCTTTTTTAATGAAAACGTAACACGCAAAATTATATCTAGTTTAAAATAGTTACAGACAACACAATCAGCAGATACTGTTTCTACCAAAAAGATTATCTTTAATTAACATAAATCCACTGCTGCCACCACCACCACCAAAAGAGGAAGATGAAACAGGGGGGAAAAAATCATCTGTGACTATTGTTAAAAAATTGGGAAAAACAGGTGTTTTTTCCCCCATTCTTTTAAGATACAGGGGTAAAATTTTATTCCTATGTATGAAAATAGGATTATGTAACCAATAGGTGGCACTGTGAGTATACAGAATGATTGGTCCAGTATTTAAGAAATATGTATTCACTTTTTAAATTATATTGCACTATTAAATATAGTGAAATATATAACTATATATTATAATAATATAATTCAGTTACACATTTGAGAAAATAGTTCTGCTCTACAGATTTATTAAATGGCTGAAAATCATTTCAGTTTAGTTTATTATGGATTTCTCATTAAGGTTTAACATTTTTCTACAATATAGAGCTTATTAATAGAACAACTTTATATCCTTTTGCTGAAGAATTGGGACTTCTTAACCAAGGGTAAAGTAAGTTTTTTTTTTCCTGCCTCTCCAAATCAGAAAACTTGGGGACACAGAAAAACATAATGGGCTTCTTCAAAAGGAAGAATGGCATATCAACTAGTCAGTCTTTTAAAAGATAACTCAGGTGGCCATCAGTTTGAACAGGGCCAATTGAA